TGGTGTTTCTAGGAGAGTAGTAAGTAGTAACTACCTCCGTCCCATTTTATGCGTCTCACTTTGACTTCACACAATTATTAAGAAAGTGGTTGAAAACGTAAAAGTTATGGTTGAGAATTGAGTATAATAAAGTGAAACGTCGTAGACCACATATTTATTTCCAAAATAGGAAATGAGACACTAATTTTGGATCAAACCAAAAAGGAAAGTAGGACATGTAGAATGAGATAAAGGGAGTAGTAATTATTGATTTGGAAGATAGTATAGTGAGGGAGTCGTAGTACGTAGTAATGAATTTTAAGTAATTTCAACCACCTGAATCATAATGTTTCAGCTTAGCTTGTAGTAACTACATTTTGAGTTATATAGGTGATATATTAATAGACAATAAGTTATATGTGTAAGACCAGGAATATGAGTAGATGAAAACAGACCGTGTATTTGTTCATAGTAAAGTATTTTCAAAGCTCGTCCAACTCTATTTGCTAGGGGTGGGCGTGGTCCCGGACGGTTCGGGATTTGGCTTATCTCGATCCCGACCCGGTTTTATAATAACGGTCCGGTACGGTTCGGGATAAGTCTTTATCCCAATGTTGTCCCATTTATAACGGGACCGGGACAACCCGAGAAAAACCGGGACGGTTCAGGACGTCCCATATATTGATTACACATGTTTTATATAAAATATACATTTGTGAAATGTGATACAAAAATAAGCATAACATTAAAATAAAAACGTAACTGTTTTAGCAAATTTAGCTTCTCTAAAAGGTTAAGTGAAACCTCTAATTAACTATTTTAATTATTGTCTTGTAAATTTTTTTGGTCCCCCCTAATCTTGTGTTTCCTCTAGTAGAATAGTAGCGCAAAATATTTTTTTACTTTGTAGGGAGACTAAGGAGACTAAGGACTAGAAAGATTTAATTAGGTTTGGCTATTACATAGCATTAGAAATTTAAAAATAACCTACTAATTTCAAACAGGACACCGGGATGGGACATGATATTTTATAACTATCCCGGTCCCGTCCCGATTAATATCGCTACGGGGCCGGTTCGGGATGAAAATATTGCATCCTAAATGGACCGGGATAGTTTCGGATCGGTATCGGGATTTTTCGGTTTGGGACACCGGGATTGGGATTTTTGCCCGCCCCGATTATTTGCCGTCCGGAAAGCTTTTGAACTAATTGGTTATAAAGGTTCTTTTCGACTTGGTTTATCTTGTGCTGAAAACTATTCAATGGAAAACCTATCATTCTTCATTATCAGCTAAGGGCTACTCATTAGAGGGCGATTTCTGTTTGAGAGCCTTACCTAATGGAAAGAGGGACCTACAGTCCCAATTTACCAGAAAAGGTCTCCAAGAGAGTTTTTAATAGAATATTATTAGGCATATTTATTTTCTATTATGTACGTAGTATTAAACTCTTTTAATATAAATAGACATGTCACATTGTCAGGGCTCCTATTGGGGTGCCTTTTTCCGGCTATCTCTCTCTTCTCGATTGACGCCGCCATGTCCATGGAGTCTACCACAGGTAGTATACCTGTCACGGATGTTTCCTCGTCCATGGAATCTTTCTCTACAGCAGCGATGAAGATGCCGATAACCTCTCTCGAACCAGCTTCTTCCATCGCTGCTTCCACCAATGCATTCGCCGCCTTGCATTCATCCGGCGCTGTGTTTTCCTCCATGCCGCAGCCGGAACTCTTCCCTTCCATTCCAGGATTGTCTTCCTCTCTCTGGACGCCACCGAGTCCCTATAGTCTCTTCAGCAATCTCCCGCCACAATTCCCTTGGCCGCAGCTTCCCCCTCTGGCCAGTTCGATCGCAGTGCCCAGTTCTTCCTTTTTTGGGCCGACTTTTGATGGGTCGTCGGGTATCACTCGACCCGTGCAGGATAATCCTTTCTTTGGGACCTCTATGGCAACGTTGGCGCAATCCATCTCCCACGGAATCGCTAATGTGAGTCAAATTGTTACAATCAAGTTGAAGGCTGTTGAAGACTACCTTACATGGCGCACACAATTTGAATCTTTTCTCGTCTCTCAAGGGCTATTTGGCATTGTGGATGGCTCCATTCAGGTACCTCCCATGTATACAATGAATTTTAATAATCAGCAAATCATTAATAGAGAGTATTATCATTCGCTTCGGGTAGATTAAACAATTCGTCCTTGGTTGTTTGCCACTCTTTCTCGTGATGTATTAACTGATGTGCATGATATTAAACATTCATATGGTATATAGGATCGTTTGCAAAAACGTTTTATGTCTACTAGTTTACCTAGAGCCATGGAACTTAAGCATACCCTGAATGCGATTAAAAAGATAGAAATCAGTCTATGGAAAACTACTTGCTTGGAATTAAGAAATTGGCTGATGCTTTAGCTACAATTAATTCTCCTATGAGTAACAAAGAATTATTGCAATGCACTTTGTATGGACTAGAGCCTGAGTATGAGTCCATTGTGCGAACCATCTCTCTATTTCCTGAAAATTTCCCGCTAGATATTCTCCATCCTAGATTGATGGAGGCCGAGCAACGCATTATGTTTCAGAGGCAGCAAGATTCTTCTCAGCTCCAGCCGGCCTTTGGAGCTCATGTTGGTGCTGCTCAACAAGTGCAGGCCGGACAGCAGCCTGCTCAGGGCGCTTACCGCGGCAGAGGAGGCAGAGGCGGCCGCGGCTAAGGGGGCCGTGGCAGAGGCGGCCGCGGCTGAGGGGGCCGTGGCAGAGACCGGTTTCAACCGCACCAGGGGTACGGGCAGCATCACGGTCAGCCGCAGGGGTTCAGTCAGCAGGGTCCCCAGTACCACGGTCAGCAGCCAACGCCCCAGTTCTTAGCCGCAGGGGGTGTGCCTAATCCGAGACCTCACAATGTCCCATCTGGTAAATCTGTTGTGTCCATTTCAAATATTAATGCTAAATCTACTTCTGGTACTCACTATCATTATGCAGGTTTCCCATCAACTGAGGGTATTCTTGTTTCAGTTCCTCCCCCAGTTGTATGTCAAATTTGTTTCTCTGCACTGTCCATCTCGTTTTTCTTCATCTTCTGCACCTGCCCTGGTTGCTCCCAGTGGGGAATCTAATGATGCTTTGTGGTATCCAGACTCTGGAGCTTCTGCTCATATGACATCGTCTGAAGGTATTTTGTCAAATAAATCTCCTTACTATGGCACCATGTTTGTTAGTGTTGCAAACGGTATTAAACTTCCCATTGCTAATATTGGTGATATTTCATTAAACTTCTCATTGCTAATATTGGTAATATTGGCACCATGTCTCATAATGGAGCGGTTATGGGGCAGGGGAATTACCAAATGGGGCGGGTACGGTTATATGTAAAATCGTTCCCTATCCGTCCCGTTGCCATCCCTACCTCCTACTTATAACCAAATCAAAATACACCCCACAATATAGGATAACCAGATACAATCAAAACACTAAGTGAAAAAATAAATTTTTATATAGACTTTGGGCTATACATATTGCGATTATTGCCTATACAAGTTTGAAGTATTTATCCGGCATCCCTTCAAAATTTGATAACTTTGAATAAAACTGCACAAACTCCATCACTTTTATTTACTTCTTCCGTTCCCTTTTAATTGCAACAGTCAACATTTCACGTTTGCCAACATACAAGTTTGACCATTAATATCTTTCATTCCTTATTAGTAAAAAATTCAAAAAATTCATATTTTGAAAATTTAGAATGAGAAGAATTGAATAATATTTTTTAAAAAATTAATTTATAATACATTAATGAATAAAAATAGTCAAAGTAGAATATGTGAATAGTGCAAAAAGTCCAATGTTACGATTAAAAGAGAACGGAGGATAGTATTATTTTATTCTTTGAAGTAGAATTTGCGTAGCTTTATTCAAAGATGTTACTCCTAATTGATAGTGTACACGATAAAAAAACAATCATGAACTGCACAAATTGATAAAAATTTACACACGCACAGGGGAGAGTTCAAATGCAAAGAGGTGTTACCATGCAAAGTGCGAATGGTTGTACTTTTTCTTCACTGCGTTGCACTATTGCATGTTTCTGTTGCACTTTTTTGCGGTGGCAAAAAAAATCAATTTATTTACGAAATTGCCACAACGATTTTGACCAAACTTAGTGCATATTTGGGTAACTTTGAGCCATTAGATGTGACAATGAATGCACAAGATTTATTCTCACTTTGCATGGGAGACTACTTTGTATTTGAACCCTCCCATATATAGGTGTGTGTGCATGCACGCGTTGGTGTCATGTGAAAGGTAATAAAAAGTTATGATTTGTGATATACTACCTCCGTCCCCCTAAGTTTGGGACAAGAGAAGGTGGCACGGTTTTTAATAAAAGTGGGTTTATGTGGTTGATATTGAATTGATAAAGTAAGAATAAAGTAGGAATGATTTAGAACCACACAAACTTTACCAAATAAGGAATGGGACAATCTTAGTGGGACGGACCGAAATGGTAAAATGAGACAATCATAGCGGGACGGAGGGAGTATATGTTTTGTAAAAATTGGAGTACAAATAAAAAAGTTATAACATCTTAAAAACAAATGTTTTTTAAAGCGTTAAACTATCATTTTATTTCCTTATATTCAATATTAATTTCATATGAAATAGGAAAAACTGTAAAATAGACCCTCGAACTATATCCAAAAAGTCAATTAGGCCCTCTAACCTATAAAACACCCAATTACGCCCTCATAGTATACAAAAACAATCAAAGTTACAATTTTGCGGGTGATCACCCAGTTAGGATGTTTTCTTTTGAACTGTTTTTGAGTTCCAGACCAGACTTAAATTGACCAGACTAGACCAGACCAGAATTTCTTAGTTATAAAATACACAGAGACTAGACGTTTACCAGACCAGACCAGACCAGTTCAGACCAGACTTAAACGGACCAGACCAGACCAGCAAATTTTAGTCCAAAAGAAATAATAAAAGCAAATCCAAATATGATAACGTTGTCTTCCCAATTGAAAGAAGGGTAAACTCTTAGCCCTAATTTTTCTCTCAACGGAAAACTTTCTTCGCACAGTTACTCTGCCACGCACTTTCGCACACTTCAATCGACACCGGCCATGTATGTACGGTACTGAAGGACTGCACTCAATAGGAGTACGTGTATAGCAAGGTAATCACTTTGCTATGAGAATGTTTAGTAGTATACACTGCAGTGCAATCGCTCAGCCCGGTTGGAAAGCCCCCTGGAATATTTGTGTATTAATATATTTGATTATATATACAGGATACATTTTACTCCGTAAGTCGCTTTTCTTCTATTCTATTCTGTAAAGAAAAAGAAAGCATAAACTATCTCACAGCCGTTTTGCAGGCTTTCTTTAGGGTGTGATTGGGAGTCAGATTTTTGGGGGGAGAGGAAGGGATATGAGGGTCAATGACCCCCCGTTTTGCGTTTGGGAGTTTTTTAAAATGGAAGGAAAGTTTTTGAAGGTTTTTTAAAATCCTCCTAAACCCCTCTAAGACGGACTTTTCTAATTCCCCCAAATCGGGAGGTTTCGAAGGACCAACCGATCAAGCAACTAGCCCAGCTCTACTAACGACAATCTTTTCCCAACTATGGTATCCGCTAGGAACCCTACCTGAAGTTTTTTCTCTGCTCGATCAAATCGCTAGGAACACTTGCTGCTTGAAGCTTTTTCTCTGCTCGATCAAATCGCTAGGAACCCTTGCTGCTTGAAGTGGATCCTCTGCTATCGACGCCACACCTTCACTACTTCACCGAAATTCTCAGGTATGTTCTATTTGCCAAGCATTTTTCGTATTTTGTTGTAATCTGCTTCACTCTATCTCCGCTCAACATTTGGCCTCTCTGTCTCTCAATCGTATTTCACATTCCCTCATATTGATTCAATTTTTCTTTGGATTTTTTGTGAGATATGGATTTTATACCTGGTATTTAGCTAGTCATGTGCTTCTTCGTATGATTTTTTCTTCAATTTGTTATTCATTTTCATGGAATCATTGTTGGGTATTTAGATTTGAGATTTTTGATATTTTTTGAGCAAGCGTTTATTCACCCATCATTAATTACAGGCTTATTTAATAAATTAAATTCCACTATCTGATAGAATTCTTTTCCAAAATGGTGGTGATATATTTAGTCGCGATTGTATATGTATGTCTTAATTAATCAATCTATACTTTCCAGATTTAATTGGCTGCAATCTTGAAGAACTAGTAAGATTTAATCAGCCTCCCCCCCCCACTGAAAGTAACTGGTCTCCAATTTTTTTGACATCTGCTATAAATTAAATAGAGTGCATTAGTTTTGTTTTTGGATTCTGTAGGATCGAATTGAGCTATATTTAACAAACTAATGTAATGCTCCCCAGTCTCATTTAAAGTGAGTGAGATTTTTGTTTTTTGGCTAAGGAGATTCTTTGGTAAAAAAAAGTAGAAAGCAGTTAAGTAGGCATTTGGAATGTCATACACCATTTCAGAAATACTTTTGTTTTATGCAAATGCATTTCAGAAATACTAGACAACAATTTTTCCTAATTCATTTCAACCAATCAAATATTCAATTGCAAAAGTCTATTACATATGGAGTATAAGATAACTTTGTTCTTCTGTCAAAGTATATTTTGCCAACCAGATATATATCATATATAGGTTTACAAAATTGTGTCTGCAAATATGAGATGGCATGAAGAAGTGCAGCAACTGCAAAAGTCTATAACATACTGAGTATAAGATAACTCAGTTCACTTTTTGCATCAAGACTTGTGCCTTTTCACTTTTTGATGGTCAAACTTTGAGATGAGTACTCTTTTTATATAGTTTTAAAAATATTTTTACTTTCTTTAAACTCAAATCTTGAAACTTGACTGAATAAGGGACTTATTTGAAACTTTCAAATCTTGAACCTTTCCTTAAAAACTATCTTTGAGCAAATATCAGGGTAATTGAGTCTGAAAAAACTCAACCCTCTTCATAAAAATATATAGAAATATATCTCCATTCTTTTATTTGTGAATGAAGCTTAGATAAAACTGACTGATTAAGGCACTTATTTGTAACTTTTGATTTGAGCAACCAGACTGTCCATCCTTTTGATAAAGTATACTTTTGATAAAGTATAGTCTGTTTACATCCTTCTGGACTGACCTTATTTAATAATTGAACAACCAGACTGTCCATCCTTCAGGAACGTATTTTATTTTCAAATAATCACTGCTTATTTCGGGACCATAATGGACCTTCCATTGATGATGGGGGGGGGGGGGGGGGTGTTAGGAAGATGTTTTCTTCACGTTCTCACTTTTGGGAAGGAAATGTGAAGGAGTGGGTGTTTTTTCCCCAATCTTTCTTTGTGAATGACTGAAAGTGTTTATTATTTTATAGTTTAATACTCCGTATTTAATATAAATTTTGACTTGCAAGTTGAAAAGTTGAAAGTGACATTGGTATGAATGGAAGATATGGAATCATGGAAAAAGGTAGACTTTGGGTATTAAACTGTTTATCTTGTCCAAGTTCCTCTGTATTTTATGGAGCTGATGTTTCTTCTTTTCACTATGTGACCCAAATTCTCACTCGCAGAAGTGCTGTTTTGTGTGTTTATTCATCATTTTCTTAATTATATTGCTAGTGATTACAACCAGTGCCCTCAAAAAGTTTTTTGGGTTTTGAAGAAGCATGGATCAAAACAGTATTGGTCTAAAATGTATTGGCCTTATTTTGTTCGCATATTTTGAGATGAGCAAACAAAATAGCAATCAGAATTTTAATGAAAAAAACAGTCCCTAGCATTGTTAAGTGTTTGTTTTTTACTAGAAATATGTTAGTGCAAAATTGTTGGAAGAAATCTAGAAATAGCAAGTTTAGGATGCACTTTTTCCGTCTATGTAAAACCATTGTTGCTTAGGATGAAACTTTTAAAAATGATACTACATCCGTCCCAAAATGATACTATCATTTTGGGGTGTCCCAAAATGATACTACCCATTTGAATATTACTTAATTATTTAATTATTACTTAAATAATTTTGTTGTTTATTTAATTATTACTTGCAAGTTTTGAATATTATATTAACCAATTTTTCTTTTTGATGCAGGCCATATCAGTGAAGGCAAAGGCGTGTGAAAGTCAAGCTTCTGACCTTTTTATGTTATTGATTGGGATAAATATAACTGCTAGTACTTATTTGAAATAAAATGTGAGACTTAATACGCTGAGATATTATTGTCCTATGATGGTTAAAGTTAGTTGTGTTCCTTTATACGTAGTATATTTATTTTTCATTTTGGTTTAATTTTTTGTCAAAAGTATGGGTATATAGCAAGTTTTTGGATATTATACTTCAATTATTAAAAACTTTTTTAATAAAAAAACAATAATTTTTTGTTTGCTTTTGTGAAATTGAAATGTGAATTTAAATATTGTTATTTATTTAAATAATTATTATTCTCTCAAAAAAAAATTAAATAATCATTATGATGTTTTTTTAAAAAATATGACTTCATTTTCTGACTCTTTTTTTTTTTTACTTATTAGCTTACTAGTTGTTTTTTCATTAAATACGTAATTTTTTTATTTTGTGCACTGAATTATATAATAATAAACCGTTTTTGGAAATTTTATAATTTTTTATTTTGAATTTGATATTACCATACTCTTCATAATTTATATATGTAAATATTGAAGCAATTTTTCAAGAAAAAATATCAAAGCAACTATTAATCTAATCTAAATAATAAAAATATATGTAACATTCAATGTACTATAATGTTTATACAATGAGAAAGGGGTACATGGGTCATTTTAAATATATGTCCTCCAAAACCCTCCACTTTTGGAATTTATTACTCCCAAACAAGAGGAGGGAATCCATTTCCATCTCCCTCCCCTTCCCTTCCCTCTACTCCCCCTCAAAGCCTTCCCCTTCTCTCACCCTCAAACTCCCAAACACACCCTTAGACTTTTATGTATGTTAGGTTGAGTTACTAGTCTAGTAGTCTTTAATCCAATATGTCTCAAGAAATTTAGAGAGGCATTTTCTTCTATTCTATTCTATAAAGAAAAAGAAAGCATTAGCTATCTCTCAGCCGTTTTGCAGGCTTTCTTTAGACTTTTATGTATGTTAGGTTGAGTTACTAGTCTAGTAGTCTTTAATCCAATATGTCTCAAGAAATTTAGAGAGGCATTTTCTTCTATTCTATTCTATAAAGAAAAAGAAAGCATTAGCTATCTCTCAGCCGTTTGCACGCTTTCTTTAGACTTTTATCTTTGTGATGGCTCCAGCTATATAAAAACTTAAAACAAACGCATAAAGAGATTTATAAAGGAGAGGGGAGAGTACAAAGAATCAAAATGAACTATTTGCTCTTTGCTATTTTACTAGTGTTTCACTTTAATATGAGTAGCTCAATTCTCAAAAAAAAAAGTGTAGTCTGGGGGTTTTACATCTGGTAATCCTTTTGTATTTTCTCAATTCTCAAAATGAACTATTTGCTCCTTTCTATTTAATGTGTTTGTATTGTTTGTGTTGACATGTTCAGAGATGGAATTCAATGGTTCATGATGGACTTATGTGTGTTTGTACAGCATGTTAGATCGAGTTGAACTCGTTATTTACCATGGCGGAACTTTCATCAGCGTTCCTGAGTGCATTTACAGAGGTGGTGCAGTAAACTCTATCACTATAGACCCGGATTTGATTTCATACACCCATCTTCTCATGTTTCTAAAAGAGGGATCGTATGGCAACATTGAAGCTTTGTACTTCAAAAAGGCCACAGGACCCCCAAGGCAGACAGAAATGACCGAAGATGTAGAGGGAAGTCTAGCCGTAGTGGTGCAAGTTCAACCCGGGGGCAGCCTACTGCTTCGACACCCGAAGATGCACATACAGAGGGCGGGATGAGGGGTGGTACACCTAGAGGGCGTGGGGGGCGTAGAGGACGAGGGACAAGTCGGAGGGGGCATGTGAAAGAGGATTTGATATATATACCAATCCTGAGTCAGGACAAACAACATTAAATGTAAGATTTTTTTTTTTTAAATATGATGTATATTTTTGAAGTACTAATAGTTATGATATTTACTAATTTTAGTTTCATAAACTTTCAGCCAGGGGAAACAAGTGAGAGGGTGCTAAGTGAAGGATGAGAAGCTCATTGTGAGATGTATGGTGAACAAGAAATTATTGATTGCTGGTGGTGGGGGCTTTGGTGACATTTTGACTTGGGGTGTAGACAAGGCATTGGGGTGTTTGCTGGCAGATTTTTTTTTAAAATAAAAACACAATCCTTAACAATTATATTAACTAATCACTCATACATAGGAAGTCATTGATCCAACCGTTTATAGCAGATTTGGGGCCTCTTACTTTCACCAGGTTCCACACAATAATCCTCTCCATTGGCCTTTAAGGTCAAGATAAGTCTAGTGCAGTAGGCTGCTGCACTGCACTGGTTTATCAACGGACCCACTAGAACATACAAAGAGAAGTTCCTTGATTTGGAAGCCTTCAATAATCAATACTATGACTCCTTCCTTAGAGAGAGAGTGTGATAGTTCATTGCTCCTGGGAAACTGATCGGGTTCAGTGGGCTTCTTCCAACTCTCAGTTAACCCATTTCTACTAAACAATTTTTTTGAGTTGTACTCCTATACATATTAAATGAGTTAATAAGGTCACTTTCACTATTTGGTAATTGAGACGCATTGGGATTTGAGCAATAAGCTGCTCATTAGTGTGCCAATATTTCCTTGCTCATCTAAAATCCGTTCATCCAGATGCATAGAGCTATCTGGAAGTTGATTATTAATGGGGATAGAACCAAAAGAACCCACATTGAGAGACCCACTAGCTGCCAGAGAGTTCGAGGTTGCAATTTTAGCATGTGCAGTCCTTATATTCATCTCCCTTAAAAAAAACGACCTCAGAAACCTATCTACAAACACCAAAGAGTGAAACAAAACACTGCTACACACACCAAGCTGATCCTTTCATACACAGAGCACTTCCTTGCATTCAAATACACCAAACCAAGCAACACCAACATTACCACTTCATTTAAGCTAAACCTTGTTCTTACACAAATAGACCGAAACGATGTTACGCATCTAAAATACAAGATCAAGTGTGCATTTCACAAACAAACACCACACTTCGTTCACACTACAGACAATGTTACACGAATTTTCTCAAATTAACCTGGAATATGTTCTGACATACTAACTACCAGGGACGGAGCCAACAAGGGAGGTGTGGTGTCAATTGACACCACTGAAATTTTTTCCCCCATAAGTAGGTATATAAATTTTTTCAAAATTCTAAAATTGAGACCACTGAAAAATAAAAATTCTTTGTATAGGTATATGTAATGTTTCATAAATTATAAATTGACACCACTCCACTAATTAAAGAAATGGGGGTCAATGTAAATTTTTTAAGTCTTGTCTGGTTTGGTCTGGTCTGAACTAATCTGGTCTGGTCTGGTCTGGTAAATGTCTGGTCTCTGTGTATTTTATAACTAAGAAATTATGGTCTGGTCTGGTCTGTTTAAGTCTGGTCTGGTCTGTTTAAGTTCGGTCTGGTCCGGTCTGTTTAAGTCTGATCTGGTCTGGTCTGGAACTGAAAACAGTCCAAAAGAAAACATCCTAACTGGGTGATCACCCGCAAAATTATAACATTGATTGTTTTTGTATACTATGAGGGTGTATTGGGTGTATTATAGGTTAGAGGGTCTAATTGACTTTTTGGATATAGTTCGAGAGTCTATTTGACAGTTTTCCCTATTTCGTATGACATTAATATTGAATATAAGGAAATAAAATAATAGTTTAACGCTTTAAAAAACATTTGTTTTCAAGATGTTATAACTTTTTTATTTGTACTCCGATTTTTACAAAATATATACTACGATATCACAAATCATAACTTTTTATTACCTTTCACATGACACCAACGCGTGCTTGCACACACACCTATATAGGGGAGGGTTCAAATACAAAGTAGTCTCCCATGCAAAGTGAGAATAAATCTTGTGCATTTATTGCCACATCTAATGGCTCAAAGTTACCCAAATATGCACTAAATTTGGTCAAAATCGTTGTGGCAATTTCGTAAATAAATTGATTTTTTTTGCCACCGCAAAAAAGTGCAACAGAAACATGCAATAGTGCAACGCAGTGAAGAAAAAGTACAACCATTCGCACTTTGCATGGTAACACCTCTTTGCATTTGAACTCTCCCCTGTGCGTGTGTAAATTTTTATCAATTTGTGCAGTTCATGATTGTTTTTTTATCGTGTACACTATCAATTAGGAGTAACATCTTTGAATAAAGCTACGCAAATTCTACTTCAAAGAATAAAATAATAAATAAAAGTGATGGAGTTTGTGCAGTTTTATTCAAAGTTATCAAATTTTGAAGGGATGCCAGATAAATACTTCAAACTTGTATAGGCAATAATTGCAATATGTATAGCCCAAAGTCTATATAAAAATTTATTTTTTCACTTAGTGTTTTGATTGTATCTGGTTATCCTATATTGTGGGGTGTATTTTGATTTGGTTATAAGTAGAAGGTAGGGATGGCAACGGGGCAGATAGGGAACGATTTTACATACAACCGTACCCGCCCCATTTGGTAATTCCCCTGCCCCAAAACCGCTCCATTATGAGACATGGTGCCACTATTACCAATATTAGCAATGGGAAGTTTAATCAAATATCACCAATATTAGCAATGGGAAGTTTAATATCGTTTGCAACACTAACAAACATGGTGCCATAGTAAGGAGATTTATTTGACAAAATACCTTCAGACGATGTCATATGAGCAGAAGCTCTAGAGTCTGGATACCACAAAGCATCGTTAGATTCCCCACTGGGAGCAACCAGGACAGGTGCAGAAGATGAAGAAAAACGAGATGGACAGTGCAGAGAAACAAATTTGACATACAACTGGGGGAGGAACTGAACCAAGAATACCCTCAGTTGTGGGGAAACCTGCATAATGATAGTGAGTACCAGAAGTACATTTAGCATTAATATTTAAAATGGACACAACAGATTTACCAGATGGGACATTGTGAGATCTCGGATTAGGCACATCCCTGCGGCCAAGAACTGGGGCGCTGGCTGCTGACCGTGGTACTGGGGACCTTGCTGACTGAACCCCTGCGGCTGACTGTGATGTTGCCCGTACCCCTGGTGCGGTTGAAACCGGCCTCTTCCATGGCCCCCTCAGCCACGGCCGCCTCTGCCGCTGCCTCCTCTGCTGCCGTAAACGCCCTAACAGGCTGCTTTCCGGCCTGCACTTGTTGAGCAGCACCAACATGAGCTCCAAAGGCCGGCTGGAGCTGAGAAGAATCTTGCTGCCTCTGAAACATAATGCATTGCTCGGCCTCCATCAATCTAGGATGGAGAATATCTAGCGGGAAATTTTCAGGAAATAGAGAGATGGTTCGTGCAATGGACTCATACTCAGGCTCTAGTCCATACAAAGTGCATTGAAATAATTCTTTGTTACTCATAGGAGAATTAATTGTAGCTAAAGCATCAGCCAATTTCTTAATTCCAAGCAAGTAGTTTTCCATAGACTGATTTCTATCTTTTTAATCGCATTCAGGGTATGCTTAAGTTCCATGGCTCTAGGTAAACTAGTAGACATAAAACGTTTTTGCAAACGATCCCATATACCAGATGACTGTTTAATATCATGCACATCAGTTAATACATCACGAGAAAGAGTGGCAAACAACCAAAGAAGAATTGTTTAATCTACCCGAAGCCAATGATAATACTCTGTATCAATGATTTGCTGATAATTAAAATTTACTGTATACATGGGAGGTACCTGAATGGAGCCATCCATAACGCCAAATAGCCCTTGAGAGACGAGAAAAGATTCAAATTGTGTGCGCCATGTAAGGTAGTCTTCAACAGCCTTCAACTTGATTGTAACAATTTGACTCACATCAGCGATTCCGTGGGAGATGGATTGCGCCAAGGTTGCCATAGAGGTCCCAAACAAAGGATTATCTTGCACGGGTCAGGTGATACCCGGCGACCCAGCAAAATTCGGCCCAAAAAAAGAAGAACTCGGCACTGCGCACGAACTGACCAGAGGGGGAAGTTGCGGCCATGGGAATTGCGGCGGGAGATTGCTGAAGAGACTATAGGGACTCGGTGGCGTCCAGAGAGAGGAAGAAAATTCTGGAATGGAAGGGAAGAGTTCCGGCTGCGGCATGGAGGAAAACACGGCGCCGGATGAATGCAAGGCGGCGAATGCATTGGTGGAAGCAGCGATGGAAGAAGCAGGTTCGAGGGAGGTTATCAGCATCATCATCACTGCTGTAGAGACAGATTCCATGGACGAGGAAACATCTGTGACAGGTATACTACCTGTGGTAGACTCTATGGACATGGCGGCGTCGATCGAGAAGAGAGAGATAGCCGGAAAAAGGCACCCCAATAGGAGCCCTGACAATGTGACATGTGTATTTATATTAAAAGAGTTTAATACTACCTCCGTCCCATTAAGATTGGGACAGAAGAAGGTGGCTGATAAGTCCGTATTTAGACACGCATTTGATGCGTGTTGGGATTGGATTTTGATGGTTTTCCTATCTTTAAGGTGTTACAAGTCTCAATTTTAGCTCAAGTTATGTTTACCGGGCGTTGGTTTGAGTTTTGTGTCATTTGGAGTCAAAATCAGGATTTTAGAGTTCACATCGGCACTTGAGGAGCAATCGGGATGATTCGAGATGCATTTGGGTGTTGATTTTAGAGCTATGGAGGTCACCGGTAGGTTTACGATGAAGATTTAATGACAAAAGAGCTCTCGGATTGGCTATGGGATCAAAAAGAAGATGAATGAAGCTTGAAAACGGCATGCAGGATGACCTTTGGTCAATCGTTCAAGCATATCTCTTTGTATAAGCATCCAAAGAACACGATTCAAAGTCCACATGAAATCCAACTTCAAGAGCTACAAATCATATGAAGACATCATTCCTAGAATCTGAGAGGAAGAAGATGAAAAAAGACGATGAAGTCAGATGATCTCTGCTGCGATTTCAGAATGACACCTTCCACCGTTTTGATCATATCTCTTGATCAATTTCATGTAATTAGGCCTGATCTGCCAGAAATCTGGTTACCCCGGAATCAATCCCTATTCCCTTCGTCATTAATTAATTAGAAACCACATTTATTTTTTATTCACTCAACCGCATTAGTTTAATTTTCAAATCAACCAATCTCGCACGACGCATTTATTTTATTTATTTCATTTTTAATCACTGAATTTAGTTAATCTTTAATTCCCTTTTGTCCGTCCCTGTGGAGATGATACTCGTACTTACACCCCTATATTACAATTTTTTTAAGTGCGAGAAAACACACATCAGTTTTTGGCGCCGTTGCCGGGGACGGTGTCGGTTTTAAGGGTTAATTAATTTCAGCGAGATTTTTTTTAGTTTTTTTTTTAGTTCTTCGTAGGATTTTTTCTGTGCTAACCTTTCAGGTATTTTTCAAAGAGGCATGAGATGAACCCATTCAGCCAAATTCCTGGAGGAATTCCTTACCCTCAAACCTCCATGGAATATTCACCATATACGCCATACCCTCCTTACACTCCTCCTCAACTTTACACACCTCATCAAAATTACTCTCCTACACCACAAAATATTCAG